CCCCTGCATAATACTATGCAGAGGATAAGATGTTCTCCATGTGTGGCTGCGATAAATGTGGGCAGAGTTTTCGTGGGTAGGAGATCCGGACTCTATGAATTGAGGGTGTCCAACTTCTTTGTTCATTGAGGAAAATCCCGTTTCCACACTATAATAGATCATTGTAGAAATCCCATGTTCCAACCATCGCCAATAGTTCATTGAACACCACGTTGGAACACATCTCTACACTTACAACAAACCTGTCCAAATAGAAGAAGCACTATATTTGGATTGTAACCAATGTTTTAAAAATCAACCTAGAACCGGAACTACTTTGGCCGCTGGTTTTTGGGTCAGCGGTTCCACCGTCCGCTTTGAACAAATGACCCATTGCAACTTAAAAAATAAAAAATAATTAAAACAAAAAACAACCAAAAAAACATTGTTCAGGTCGAACAGATCAACAGTTTGACCAGCCAAATCTGTGGGTCACCGATTAAACCAATGGTTTTTGGCAAAAGGCCCAGTCAGAGGTGAAACGGAACTGATTGCCTGAACGGTAGGTAGCCAAATGGTCATATGACCATCCATGTTAACTTTGGTTCAAAAACCATGATTGTAACTACCAAAAGTAGAGTCATGTGACCATTCTCAAATGGAAATATAAGAAGTTATTAGGGGTGTTTCAGTAGTACATAAACAAAGAGGTGTCCTAGTAAATGACTTATATAATATTTTGATCATTTTTAGTTTGATTTATTTATAAATTGAATATCCAACAATCCAAATTTTGTTGGAATCTAATATAAATTAAACGAATAAATCAGATTTGAATTCAAATATAAACAAACCAAATTTGGATTTACCAAATTCAATTCAATCCATTTGTAGCCCTAATTGAACAAATGTAACAAAAATGTAAGAAAAGGAAGGGAAAGATGGGAAATACCTATACAAACCAAGTATTAACTGAAAGCAATAGGTATTGAATGGGATGTGAAACCAATAATAACTTTTCACGCCAGTAATAAAATACATGAGACGCACAACCTTTTGGTTTCTCACTACGGACCGTATATATATCGTTACCATTGGTTCCACAACTTATTAAACAACTATCACATCCAATGATACAACTAATCAGAATTCCTCACAAATAGTGACTAAAGGCGCAGGAATCATACCCCGTTTGGGGGCCTCACAACTTGCCATCAATCCTGGACTGCAATCATCAGACCTCCACCTTGAACATTAACTTAGCTGAAAATCAGCTGAAAAATTCTTATCCAAAATTATTATACTGTATCATATCCCACTAGAGAATTAAACATGTGAAAATGTCATGTCATTTAGAAAATATCAGATGATTCATCAAAAAAAAGAACGGAAAACTATTAGATGATACATAGACATTTGATCATGGTGATTTTTGGTGTAAGCCCTCCATTTGGTGGGACCAATTTAATGATGGGTTCAGATCATCTCATTATCTACCACGTGGTGAGTTATGATGGCCCTAGACTATAATTAGCTCTCTTGTTTATCAAACCCCTTGATGAAATAAAAATATGGTACGAACATTCACTTGAAGTTTCCTTCTTTTGAGCCCCATCCCGGGATCCCTGTCACTTAAAAAAGAGATTATTTTTTACATACACACCCTTATAGTTTCATGTATTCATTAAAACTTATTTATAGTTTGTATATTATTAATATATCCTTATAATTTGCAATCATTTTATTTATCACTGTTTTTCTTAGGGCCCTTTTTTTGGATTTTGAGAGAAGGAAATTGGTCAATAGAATTTTGGTTCCCTGGGTATTAATTATCCGGGTAAGTGATATTTATCTCCCAGGTCGATAAATAGCGTTCCCACTTAGGGGGAAGGTTGCCAATACTTAGATGAGACAAAATTACCTATTTAAATAATGATTCTTTATAGCTAAAATGGTTAATTTCTTATTTACCTAGAAAATAAAAGAACATGAGTAAATATACTTACCCGAGTAAGTAACTTCCCGAAAAGCAAACTTAGATGGAAATAGGAAGTGATGTATTTAACCCTAACATTCATTCAAAAAAATATGTGCCTATGCCCTAGGCCCATGCCCCTTCACATTTTCTACTCGTTTTAACTTTTAAGAGGTTATATCATCATTTTAGTAATATACAAACTATAGGATAGGTTTTAATAAATATGTGAAACTATAGGCGTATCTAAGTAAACGACCTTAAGAAAAAGAACTTGGCGGTGCAAATTGACAGCTCCTGGACCATGTTTGGACTGAAAAAATAAAAAAATAAAAAAATAAAAAAGGGCTTGAGCCCCATCCCATAGAGGTTGGTGTTTGGGATGGACTTAGGCTGCATGTTGGTCTTTGGCAGTACATGTTAGGCCCAACTTGGGCCCACCCTAGAAAGTACTTTCTGTCAAGCTTTGATTTGTCCCTTCACGCGTTAAAAAGCCATAAATGTGTAAACATAAGCTATATTAAGTTAATAATATTTACTAAATGAACCTACAATCCTACCTTCCTAGTTCACTGGTTTCAAAAATGGTTCTTCTTAATATTCTGTAGGGCCCACTATGTGATCCAATGTTGGGCCCACAATTATATACTTGATGTACGCTATAAGATGCACTAGTGGGTTTTGTCCTTTGCCAAAATATTAACCTTGATCAGACAATTCTGGCCATCTGATTTATATTGAGATGGGGCCAAGTATAGAAAATGGTCTGTTTTGACAACACCTTTAACAACTTTTGAGTGTCATTCATTCATTTCAACTTTCAGGTGTAGTTTGGTTTCATCTAGCAGTTCTACTTGACAAAACAAAAAGTGATGAAGTCATACAAGGTTTTGGTAAGATAACTAAGAGCAGATGCCTTATGCCCATGCACATAAGTTGATTTGTGTCATTTAATTCAACTGTCCTTTCTGCTTCACAATCTAAGAATGGATGAAAATACAATCATGGTAAATATTCTAAGAACCCAGAAAATCTTGTACACCATTTATTTCTCAAAAAACCAGCTGATTAAGGCAAATGACAGATAGATAGAATCCAGCTAGTGATAGTAAATGCTGTCCTAATTGTAGAATATGTGTTGTGTTAGAATTTAAAGACAAGAAATATACTCAAAAGTAAGCAGAACAACCCTAACCCCAATCTCAATCAATTGATGAACTACATCCTGATGGCGACGTGGGATTGCAAATCTTTTGGTAAACATTGCCTTTTTCCATTTGAAAGTGCAATGGCATCTAGCTCTTTAATTTACAGTAACCCTTGGCTAGCTTAAACAAGAGCAGATGATGACATTGATACCCCTGTTAATGCATGTTACTTTTGAAACCCTCACAAAAAGAAAAAAAAATTCTAAGTACAATGTATCCATTCATTTATTAATATTCCAACAAACCAGATTTTAATCTCTCTTTTCTGTCCTATTCATGGGTATCAATATGGACAGATGAAACAATCAAGAGAAGTTAGAGAGAGAGAGGTTATTATCCACAAATAAATGTTTTATCAGTCTGGCTTTTTTATTAACTATCAAACATTTTGTGTTCAATCTTCTTAACTAATAGCCTTAAGTACCTGTCTGAAGATTATTTTGATCATTAGGTAACCGACCTAGCTAGATTCACCTAAGGTTTTTCTTCTGTGTTTTTTTTTTTATATGTGGCGAGGGTGGAAGATGCTCTGTCTACCACAAGCACTTCATCTATTACTTTAATTTCATGGAAGGATCTTTCCACTAATATGATTTCTATCACTTTTGGAACAAAGAAAGACAAGCAACCTCAGAAGTCAAAGATTGAGAAAAGGAAGACTGTTAGTCTAAAAGGGAGAAAAAATGAAAAAGGAATCACATGCTTGCTTTACTAGAAGACACACCCATCATTCGTTTTCATTCAAATTGACTCTCATGCACTCATTTCATCATGTTTCCAGCTATTCAACATTCACAAGTTGGTCAAGGGATCACGGATTCACAGTTTGCCTAAACCATGCTAACCTGGGTTAAGAATTTTAATATTAAATAAACAAATCAAATCAAAACTGGTCCAATCTTCTTGGGTTTTCCCTTCCAAGTTGTAACATAGAGTAGCAGAGTTCTCCATTCCAATCTGATTTCATGTACACAGACCGGCCTAACCTTAGCTGCCAAGGGTCTAGTACAACTGGATGGACCAATCTGGCTTTTGTAACTATGATGATTTATATGTTAAGATGTTGAAGTACCCTCTCCACCACTCCATATATAGAAAACAAGAGCATATACTGAAATTACTGGAAATTATGAGTGGTCAGATGTTATTATTAGTAGACCATCTCGTATTCATAAGAAGCAATTATGAAGAGGGAATAGGTAAAAGTATTCCAGTGTAAATGGGTAAGAGCTCCACCAAAGAAGCCCCACTATTCAAGCGTTCAGTCAGAATATTTGCTTAAAATACCATTTTATGTAATAAAATAATTCATTCTTAAATTGAAATACCAATCCGTTTTATAAAATTAGATTTGGATCAAATGCAAATTTAGAGACTCTCTACTCCATCAGTTAGTCTCACTTGATGATCACAACCATCTATCTTTCCCTACCGTTTTATAAAATCTTTTTTGCCACCCAAATGAAAGGTTTGATTTTATAGCTTGACGACCAATTGGGTTGATTTTAACTTGGGATTTTCATTCTGATGCACCAATGGCTACCGGTGTATACCATGAGAAAATCATCTTGCCATTCTTTTTATTTATTTACTTTTTTTGAAAAAATATCTACGAAGGAAAAATTATAATAATCTATCAGAAGGTTAGTTAGCCTCACATGTAAAATTAAATCTCTCTCTCTCTCCATAATTGACAGTTGACAGTAGGAATAAGACATTGCAATCATTTTAAAAATGACAATGATGCACATGAAATCGTGTAAGCATGCAAGCCATTGTCTTCCAAGAGAAAATAAAGTAGGAGATTCTCTCTCCAACCCAATGCTCAAGGCTTCCTTTATATCTTCAACTACCAAAGCAAAACTAGGAGAGCTTTAGAAACTAAGATGGACAACCCATATTTCTGTCTTCTCCTCTTGTTAGCATTCTCTTGTTTCTCCACCAGGGTCCTCTCATGGCGCCATGACCAGCAATACAATGAAGGCAAGAACTATGAAGGTTCCTCCGACCTCATAAACCTAGAGTACCACATGGGTCCTGTCCTGGCTTCCCCCATCAAGCTCTATATCATATGGTATGGCCATTGGAACCCAAACCACCAAGCCATCATAAGAGACTTTCTTGTTTCACTCTCCACTTCCTCTTCTTTCCCCTCTGCTGCAGATTGGTGGCGCACTGTCCGCCTCTACACCGATCAAACAGGCGCAAACATCACCGGAAATATTGTCCTCTCAGGCGAGTACAATGATTATATATACTCCCATGGTACCACCCTGAGTCGCTTGGCGATGCAATCCATCATCAGGACAGCCGTGACCGCCTACGGTGGGATACCTCTCAATCCTTACAGTGGCCTCTACTTGGTGTTGACATCCTCAGATGTCCGGGTGGAAGATTTCTGTAGGGCAGTCTGTGGCTTCCACTATTTCACCTTTCCGGCCATTGTTGGTGTCACTGTGCCATATGCATGGGTTGGGTACAGTGGTACCCAATGTCCAGGGATGTGTGCATACCCATTTGCCTGGCCCAACTATTCAGGCAGGCCACCGAGCAATGGGGCCAACAACATAATGGGAGCTCCAAATGGAGATGTGGGTGTGGATGGAATGATCAGTGTCATTGCACATGAGCTTGCAGAAGTGTCAAGTAACCCACTTGTGAATGCATGGTATGCCGGTGATGACCCTACAGCTCCTACCGAGATTGCTGATTTATGTGTCGGTGTGTATGGCTCTGGAGGGGGTGGAGGATATGCCGGCAAGGTCTACAGGGACAACTGGGGCAATGGGTACAATTTGAATGGTGTGAGAGGAAGGAAGTTCCTGGTGCAATGGGTATGGAACCCTGTCAGAAAGAGATGCTTTGGGCCCAATGCCATGGATTAGAAATTAGGTAAGCTGATTGTATTGGTTCTGGATGCATAAGCATCCTATAAACTAGAATATCCTACCTTCTGTTCATCTGTCTTTCTCATCAACTTTCAGAAAGCATGGATCACAAGGAGTCAAAAGAGATGGATTTGGGGATTGTTCAGACTTCAGAGGGATGGGCTCTTACTCTTTTAGCCTTTTTCTTAGTATGTCTTGTACAAAAAGTCTCTTCTGTGTTCTTGGTTTTATTAGTAAAAATGTTCAAAGGTTAATAGTTCATAAATGACAGATCAGTTCATTTTATTGTTTGAAACCTGTAGTTGTTTGCAAGTTGCAATGCCATCAATCATCAGTCATCACGATAATACCTTAGCCCCAGAAAAAACAACTTTTGATTTCAATTATTGATCCCATTTGTAAATCACCTCTTAACCCTTGAGGGTGAAAATTACTTGAATTTGGATGGCTAGGAGATTAAAAAAGTTCATTGTATTTGGCTTTCTCACTCCTCTCTTCCCTACTGTCGGTCTTGATGATTTTATCTTGTATGAGTTTTCAAGATCGTTTAATGACCCAGAACTATAAACCCTACACCTTGAGGATTTCTAAACCGCTCATGATTTAATGATGAAAGTGCTTATACTTCATAAATGAGCATCTGGCCACGAGCTGATGATCAAGTATAACAAAAGCTCCAACACCATCATTATCACCACATGACTGGAACTTGCCTTGTCTGACGACATTGTTCGTCCTTGTGAGTATACATCATAGCCTGCAGGCTGATGATCTGGATTGAATTGTCAGCAACAAGGTTCTAAATACTGGGCATATCTGGCAGTACGGTCCCTTTTTTATTTTTTTCATAACCGATTCAGGATGGTCAATTTAAGGCTCCTCCACCTCCTGAACTGGTCAGAAACCCAATACATCCTCTGTAGGGACATATCAGGGTGCTCCCCAATACGATATGTATCAGTCGATACGTGTCCATACTTTGAACCTTGGCAGCACCGCAGCAGTATATATATCGTTGATGATTATCGTTCAAAGTTGGTAATACTCCTTGCATCCTTGTAAAAATAACTCTAGGACCATCAAATAATAATAATAATAATAATGGATCAATATATCCTTGAATTTCCAAGGGAATGTCGACTTACACTGATTTTCACTTGATAAATCACACGTAATAAAATGAATTGGTCCAGTTAACATACACAAACAGTTCCAAAGCTGCACCTGAATCCTTTGCAATTAATCATGATCTTTTCACTATCGTTTGCTGAACAACAAAATGGTGAATAAGTGCTTCAACGTTGCTGAAGAAGCATCGGCAATGGGAAATTTCATTTTGGGATTCAAAACTCTTGGGGAGTGGGTAACCAAACGAGTCACATCTCTATAACATCTCACCTTCAAGAAACACAATACATAAACCATATTTTACAGTCCGCTTTCTCACCCACACAACTCATCTTCTAAAAGTACAATATATAAAATTATGAATCCATATTCTACAGTCTTCCCCACTTTTGGTGCTCAGCTTAAACAACTAAAATCTACACTTGAACTTGCTCCACGCACTTCCACAGTACCTCTGAACATAATTTCTTGTAGCGGCATACAACTTCTGCAATATATCAAACTCAAAATAAGTACAGAACTGTACATTTGATGAATGATGGCTTCCACGTTTTCAGTTCAAAACCCAAACCAGGAGTGCCTTTGCAATTCCTTGTAAGCTGACCGGTAAAATGGATAATTTGGAAACAGGGAACTCTCACTTGGGCTATTTTTAATTGATCATTTGAAAATATCTGGCAAGTAAATGCTGGACCAGATATTGCAAATGACATCTTCTCATACAGTTCATAACACATCAAAGCAACGAAGACAGTAGCAGTTAAGAAGTTTTGCTGCAACACTCTCAGGTTCTGGAACAAGAGCAGATGTTAAGCTGTTCCAGAAATGGAATGTAAATGATTCGTTCAGAATCTTTCTGAAGAAGACGTCCTGTTGGGCTCTCTCAGCCTCATCAGAAGGAGCTGTGAAATATCTGCTAGGGGCAGAAAGAAAGGGAATCAGAAAGATTAAAAAAGATCATGCAATGTGCAACAGACTGTCTACACACAAGGATCAATAAGTGTAGGAAGCAAGCCTTTCCTTCTTCAACCAAATAGGAAACCTATTTTTGGTTATTATTTTAAAATTAATTTATTATTATTGAATAATTAATACGTTAGTATTTTATTATTACTTTAATTATATTATATTAATATTTTATCTGTACTTAATTATTATTATTATGATTATTATTAAATAAATAATATCTTTGCTTTTTATTATAAATTTATTAATATTTTATTATGGTATTATTATTTTATGAATATTTTACTAATATTTTGTTATTATTTTAATTATTAATATACTCTTATTTTATTGTAATATTATTATTACTTCCGTAATAGTTTATTATTTAATTATTAATGTTTTATTATTACTTTAATTATAATATATTAATATTTTATTTTACTTAATTATTATTGTTAAATAAATAATACCTTTGCTTTTTATTATTAATTTATTAATATTTTATTATAGTACTATTATTTTGTTACTATTTTACTAATATTTTGTTAATAATTTATTATTTTATTATTAATATATTATTAGTTTTATTATATCATTATCTTGTTAATGATTTGACAATATTTTATTATTTCATTAATATTAGGATTTGGGGGTTTTTTGTAATGAGTTCTTTACAAATGGTAGGAATCGGAGGCCATTCCCATTCCAATTCCAGGCACCTATTCCTGGAAACTAAATGGACCCTTAAAGAAAATTGCCGCCAAGTGTCATCCATATCTGTTGATTTGCATGGAATTTCGCAAGGCCTGAGCACACTATTTGATCTAAGTGGCACTTTTCTTTTTCTATGTAATTACTTCTTGCATGTATAGTCAATATATTTTTTGTAGAGTCCCTCTAGCCTAATATGCTTTATTTAGAAAACAAAAACACGCTCACAAAACGCAATTACTCCATAAAGCATGAACGCAAATGAATTCAACTTTCCTTCATTCATTTGTCCCAATATCAAGGCAAAAGAATAGTTTTATAAGTTAAAAAAGTATAGGGTAGAACACTGTTTACCATAAAAGCAAAATGTCACTAGATCCTAATAGTAAGAGATCATTAAACAAAGCTAAGAAACTATGGTTACAGACAAGAATATGTTATGAAGTTGCCCTGTAAGCCTTAAAATTAAGAGAATGAATTAAAGCAAAATTTAAACTCATAGAAAATGTAAATGGTTGTAATAGATCAATCAAATAATCTATTACAAAGGCAAAAACTTACGTGTTTGAAATGAATATTTAGCTAGCTTAAAGTGGTAATAATGTTAGGCAGGCAATAACCTTGTAACTCTACATAACTACAATAGTCACCAACTTATGTTATAATACTAACTCTTATATTCTACATAGTGCTGGTAGTGTTCACTAGGAAATATGTCAATTCCAGCAAAATTTCATGTTGCTACCTATGGAAGTTGAAGTGGAAATGTGTTGTGGAAACGATCTCTTGTACTCCACATAATGCTGGTAGTTTCATAGGGGAATATGTTGATTCTGGTAAAATTTTGTATCGCTACCCATAGAAATGGAAATGTCGTGGAAATAATAGGGACATTAGGGACATTTTAAACCACTAGAATAAGGCATAAACCTTTGATATAGGTTATGTAAGATTTTCATGTCCCCTTACTGCTAATTTTTGCAAAATTTCTCCCTCTCAAGTCCCATGTTTCAAATAAGTAAAATTAATAAAGAAATGTCCCATTGTGCTAAATGCAAACTAAATGTTTCTTGTCAATTTCCACTTTCAAAGCATATGGTCCAAAAAGCTCATGTAATAATAATATAAATGCATATTGACATGAATATAAAATGATAGATGGATATGTATAAATGCAATGAGAGAAGAGAGAGAGAGAGAGAGAGAGAGAGAGAGAGAGAGAGAGAGATCTGATTGAGGAAAAATTACCTTATGATATTCTGATGACTTATTGGGAAGAATACAAAAGATTGTTGCTTTTTTAGCTCAATCGGTTTACCAGAATTATCCCATTTGCTTAGAAACTTCTTACCCACTCTTGTCAGTAGGTCAGCCCCATTCCATCTCAACTGAGCATCATCATATGTTGAATAGAACTCTTTCAGGCACTCCATTATGAAAGGACTGCATGTAGAACAAATGTTAGATATAGAAATATCAAACATGACCCAAAAAAGCAAATCAACTCCATTATGCAAGGCTTACATGGAAATAAAGGTGGCAAATTTCAGCCAGGGCCAACCCAATCTACATGGTTATTTGGCCAGCCAAGCGGCCTAATATACTGAGCCAGGTCTAAGTTTCTCATTTGACCTAGCTCAGCTAATGTAGTTCAACTCTGTACAGAAATAGTATATTGACCTAGCGACCTAATATACTGAGCCAGGTCTAAGTTTCACATTAGCTCAGCTAATGTAGTTTCATATTTGACCTAGCTAAGCTACCAAAACATATGAAAGGAGGAAGAATTAATAGCTGCACCAAGATTTGGAAGTCAATAGTTTTCACCAAAGCTTTATCCTGGTCATGAATACATCACCCAGGTTCAGGTCCATAAGCTGTGACAATTGTCCTATGAAGATTCACTCACTATGGCTCCGGTGGGTTCCCTTAACCAAGCCACTGCCTAAAAGTCGCTGGCTCATTCTTCAACAGGCATGCAGTCAAATCCCTGGGCTCCTCCCTATGTTTCCTTTTATGCTAGCTAGAAAGTTTCTGTTTGTGGTTACACAGTTTAGCAGCTTTCTATGTCATTTAGGAAACTATCAAGCAATTACTATTTTGAAGAGCTTCTATTTTTATGCTTCCTATTTTCTGGTTTCTATTTTTGAAGTCTTGATAGTTTCTAAGTTCTGCAATTCTATCTGCGATTGTAGAATTTCTATATGTCAAGAAAAGAGTTCTATAAATGCTCATAATTCTGTTCAGAGAAGGAGCTCAATGAATAAATGAATTAAGTTCTCTTCTTTCAACATTCAGTCTACTATATTCTTGAGTGAAGTCGGGTAAAGGTAGAGCTGGAGAAGTCACAGCCTTTTTGCGGTCTTCAAAGGCTTTCTCAGCACTATGGTTCCACTTGAAGGAATTCTTTTTTAAGAGACATGCATGTAAGGGGTTCAACTAGATTCCCATAATCCCTAATAACTGGCAGCAGTACCTGGTTAACCCCAAGAAGCCCTCGAGTCCCTTGAGGGTAGTGGGTCGGGCCCAATTTAGCACACAAGCTATTTTTTCCGAGTCAGTTTGCACCTGTCCCCCTGATCAGTGTTTTAAAAGGCACGCCTAGGTGCAGAGGTGAGGCACTTTCCAGGCTGGACACCTTGCCCAGGATAAGGCGCACAACCATTGGACAGGCGCTCACCTTTGCGCCTAGGCGTGTGCCTCAGCCTAGGCGATAGGCGGCCCAGGTGAGCACCTGGATGATGTCTAAACACTCCGACCTAAACAAACTTTAAAAATATATTAAAAAATAAAAAATATATATATACAAAATAGGAAACTTGGGAGAAAAGGAAGCTGAATCGACAGGGGTCTTTGCCAAAACAACCAAAAGAAAAAAAAAAAAAAGGAAGTCTGGAGGGAAGAGTTCCTTCATCCAAAAGTTAAGACTCCAAACCAGACTACCAGAGGAAGCTGAAGCTCATCCAGATCTAGTTCAAGCTTAAGTTCGTCCAACCCTGAATCGAACAGAGCTACAGGTATCAGGTATTATATGTTTTTTCTTCTTCTTCTTCTTCCTGCGGCAGTCCAGGCTGAGGAAACAGGGGCTCCGGCCCATTTTTTTTCAGTTGTTATCATAAAAACAGGGCAGGGGCTCTGCCCCATTTTTTTAGCTTTTCTCATTAAAACAGGGGCTCTGCCCCATTGTTTTTCAGTTGTTATCATAAAAACAGGGGATCCACCCCCTTTTTTTTCAGTTTTTCTCATTAAAACAGGGGCTCCACCCCATTGTTTTTTAGTTTTTATCATTAAAACTGCCCTTTCTTTTTTGGTCCATAGCCATGCGGGGACAATGTTTATAGAGAGCATTGATGCTTCAAGTGAAGTAAAAACAGTTGAGAGGTTATTTATATTGCTTGACAAGATGGTAGAAAGAATTGGTGAGAAAAATGTTCTCCAAGTTATTACTGACAACACATCAAATTATGTCCTAGCCGATGAGTTTTATACATTGTTATTATTTCTATTTAGCTTTCTTTTAGTCTTTTGACATGTTAGAATCACATTTCTTAATTCTTATTTCATGAATTGTTTTCTTGTATTATTAGGGAAGTTTTTGATGGCTAAGCATCCTCATCTAACATGTGGACACCGTGTGCTGCCCATTATTTGGTCTTGATATTGGAAGACATTGGGAAGTTGCCTACTGTGAATAGAACAATTGAGAGGGCAATTGCACTTATGGGGTATATCTATAACCATCCTGGTTTATTGAACCTGATAAGGAAGTTCACAAATCAGAGAGAATTGATTAGGCTAGCAAAACGGGTTTTTGCTTTCTCACATTGCGGAGCATATACAAACAAAAGAAGAATTTGAGATATTTGTTTAACTCAAAGGAAGGGAATGATAGCAAATGGATAAAAGAAGTAAAAGGGAAAAGAATAGGGGAGACAATCATAATGCCCACATTTTGGAATAATGTCATTTTTACTCTTAAAGTGTGTGGCCCTCTTGTTCGTGTATTAAGGTTGGTGGATCGTGAAAACAAGCCTTCCATGGGTTATATTTATGATGCTATGGACCGAGCAAAGGAGGCCATTGACAAGGTATTTGGTGGAAAGAAAGAAAAATATGAAAGACATTTTTGAAATTATTAATAAGAGGTGGGAATGCTAACTCCACCAACCATTGCATGCAGCTGATTATTTTTTGAACCCCCAATTTTATTATGATGATCAAGAGAGAATTGAAACAGATGAAGAGGTTATGACAGGGCTTTTTAAAGTAATCGAGATGCTTGAGAAGGAAAAGAACAAGAGAAGTGTAATCACTGATGAAATATCCAAGTACAAGAATGCAGAAGGCATTTTTTGTTTTGATATGGCTATTTCCCTAAGGAAGATTAAAGCACCAGGTAAATAACATTGATTTAATAATTAATATAATATTTGATTCTCTTAATATTTTTAGTTAGTCTAATGATCACTAATTCAGTTAATATTTATATTTTTTAGCTGATTGGTGGACCATATTTGGTGCTTCTACCCCGAATCTACAAAAGATTGCAGTGAAAGTTCTAAGTTTGACATGTAATGCATCGGGGTGTGAGCGAAATTGGAGCGTATTTGAGCATGTATGCCAAACTACTACACTAGAATACGTCCATTTTTTTTTTGGATAAACTATCTTAAGTTTACACATTTAATTTTTTGAATTAACAAATTCATACTAAGGAAACAAATCGGTTGGATCAGAAGCGATTGAATGACTTGGTATTTTTTAAGTTCAACCAGATGCTTAAAGAAAGTTTTGACTCATGTAGCACCAATGACCCCATATCATTAAAAGATATAGATGAGAGTAATGAATGGTTAATGGGGGAGGTAGGACGTGATGAGGATGGTGCAGAAGCTGATTTGGTGTTTGATGATGATACACTAACATGAGGAGATGTTGCTCATGCTTCTGGAGTTGAAGAGCCACTAAGGTATACAAGGTCTAGACCTTCAACTTCACAAGCAAGAGCAACAAAATCTAGTGGAAAAAAGACCAAGACAGCTTCAATTGGTAGATGAAGAAGAGGAAGAAGAAGTTGATGTTAAAGTTGAAGTTGAAGAAGAAATGGAAGAGGATTTTGATGACTACAAGTTAGATGACAATGAAGATGAAGTTGAACTTCCAAGTGAAGATGAAGAGGATGCTGATTGAGTCTTGAAGAATATCTGAAACCATAGACTTTTTTTTTATATAGAAAATTGTCTGACTTTTGTTTTGTAGAAAACTGTCTATGACTCTCTGTCTTCTTTTGAAAGAAAATTGTCTGTCTCTTTTTTTGAAAGAAAATTGCCATGATAGTATGACTATGACATGACTCTAACTCTGTGATTGTTCATTGTATTGCATTAATGGCTTGTAGCTTGCTTGAAGTCTTGAACTTAATGTTGATTGGTCATTGGTGAGTACTTGAGAACTTGATTATTTCAGATTTTTGTTGTTATTTGACATATTAATAGGTTGTTTGTTAATCACTTAATTTAATTTTAAGTTTAGGAATATGTCTTTTAATTATAGCCTTCAATTTTTTCATTTGTTCTTGATTTTTCAAAAAATTGTGCGACTTGCCTCAAAAAGGCGCACGCCTCGCCTCTCGCCTTGTGCCTTTCACTTTTAAAACACTACCCCTGATATAATATGACCCAGGTACTATATTTGAGTTTGCCCAAATGAAGACTTAGAAAGCTTAACAAAGAGCTGATGTTGTTTGAGTAGCATAAGTGTGTGCCTCAGGTGTTAAATATGTAGAATAACTGTCATAACTTGGATGAGATTTAGCAATTAGATAACACATTAACTAGAGGAGATGCAAAGTTAGGGCGGAATCAAAGCAAGGATAAAATCCAAATGAGCAAGAAGCATATCTCACCAAGCATGGATGTTTCTCTGCAGAAGGATCAATCGATCGAAAGGTTAGCCGAAATCAAGAAGTGTGGCTATGGGGAAAAAGAATATGTTGAAAGAGAATCGTCAAGTGGAAGTCTGGAGATACCTAGAGTGATGACGGAGAGTGTTGACAGACAAATCACAGGAGCGAAAACTCTGGAAATTATTGCACAATTAAGTGGTAAGATTGCTCAGATTCTCATTGTCTTCCATGTTCTCCTCCTGTTTCAACGGGTTGGGGTGGCTCTGGTAGGGAATAGGATTTGAGTGATGGGGGGCTTGATGGTGTGGATGAAGGAGGGTGGAGTCTAAAGAGAAAAAGAGCGGAGGATGATCAACAGAGGGTTTATAATAGAAAGAGAACATCAGTAGTACAAGGAGCTTTAGGGGAAAAGGTTGAAAGGAAAGATTCGGATGAGCAAGAGGAAGAAGAAGGAAGAGAGTAAGGGGGTGAGGAGACTGTGGGGAATGAAGCTATATAGGTTTCGGGGGAAGAGAACACTGAGAAAAGGACGGTGGGT